AGACCTTCTCTGCGCTCCAGACCTCCTTACACGGTGCGTTGGCCAATATGACCGGGCTGCATCGTGGACGACAGGCAGCTTTCCTGCTACGGGTTATCCGGGAGATTCGAGGGAGTCTCCCTAGGGGTCTCTCAACCAGGGACCACCTATTCGCCGACGATCTGGTGCCGAAACTGCATGATATCCTCGCTGCTGAAATTAATTCGGCAATTTTGGGATCGAACCTGACCAGGGGTATTGGGAAGCGTGGAGGATGCGCCGGCCGAACATTGTGGGAAGGCGATCCTCAACTTCCAATCCAACCATCTCCAGCGGTATTCAGATTACTACAGAAATTAGTCACGGCAATGGAACAGCAGGGCCCCGATCTTTGGAATGTTTCTGCTGTGGATACGCTCAAAGTCAAGCTCAGAAAAACAATCTCCTCATGCATACAGTCCGGTCTTGAAGTCCCTGAACCACCTCCAAAGCACGAAACGCCCCAAGAGGAGGACTCACCCGAGGCCTCAACAGCCGATGGTGGTGACGATACCGCGAAAGAGCCAAGCGAGCCCGCTCCCGTCGAACCTACGCCTGACGTTATCAGGGATCGCAAGACCCAACTTCTCTTTGACGTCCTGTATCTAGACGACGCCCTGGCCGTCCGAAAAGTCGCCGGTGCCGAAGAGAACGATCTTGGGCCTGTCATCGAATTGATTGAGAAGGATATCGAGTCCGATGAGGGCATTGTGGGAGCACTTCGCAAGAGGAGTGAAGAGTACTGGAAGCAGACCCAGCTACTGTTTGGACTGCTTAGTTAACCCCTTATTTGGCGATCTTACATAACCTAGTGGGAATGGCATTAGGTAGTATAATATATACCCGGATTTAAGCAGAATACGATTGAACATACCAACTTCTAGTTGCAGATATTTCACCCCCTTTTCCCAAGTTGTTATGGCTCACCAGCCTAGCATTCCTCGAACCATTATCATTCTTTATTATGCATTACGCATTATGTATCAATTTAGTAGCATCATTACGCTAATTCTGCCGCTCTCTAATAAAGACAGGTCTTTGAAAATAGTTCTCATGCTCTCAACTGGGTTGCATCCCCCTTGGGTTTCTTCTTAGTGGCTGCCTTTCAGTCTTCTATACCTATACCAGCCCATCTGACCCTTTGATGCTTGTGGTTATGGGGCGGATAGTTGTTTTCGGAGCATGCATTTCCCCGATTACGACGGCTACTTGACGTTGTTTGTTCTGCAAACGGAGTCTATTCACCTCTAAATAACACATCCCTCCTTGTCCCAGGCCAGCGAAAACACACAAACATGAACTCTTCATTTTTCCATCTGGCAATATATATGCCAACATTCAGTTCCTTCTCTTCCTTTTTCTTCTTCACAGACTACTTCGCGTTCACTTGCTACCGACGTTTCTCCTACACCGTTTCCCGCACCCCCCGTTGATCTCAGGGTCATTGCAACTTTCAGCGCGTGCGCTCCTTCAAAATGCTGAAGAGGTGCGATAACTGCGACAATTACGGTCATCTAGCGAAAGACTGTCGAACTCGACGCTGCCACTCATGCTTCCAGCTAGGACACATCGCGTCTCATTGCCCGCAGAGGATACGGTGCTACAACTGCGGAGAGTATGGACATAAGCGGAACAGCTGTCCACAGTTGCAGGCAGATAAAACCCCTTCTACTAACACCAATACCACCAAAACCCCTGAACTTCCTACATCGAGCTTACGTGCTGCCCGGCCTGCTCCCAAAATGCGAAATCCTCCAGCGAGACTCCACCCGATACCTTTCAAATTACCGGAGAATGATGAAGACAGCAATGATAGTGTAAGTGTCATCTCATCTTCATATAAATATCCTCCAGGTGCGTTAAGAATTGAAACTAATCCTGAATAAAGACTGCCTACCAGATTCAGCCACCGATTGTCGTTCCTTCGTTTCAAGAGATTACAACAACCTTGGTCGAAAGGTTGCGCTCAAGTCAAGAACAATCAATCAATCATATCCCTTATGCACAGGTTATTGCGATGTGTGGAGGAGTAGAACCTATCACCAGTGCCTTGGTGGCATGTATAGACCCTCATGTCAAGGCTCTTGAGGACCGGGTGGTGACACCAAGAGAGTAAGTCCTGAATTTATGTTTGGTTATAGGATCATTCTAACAACATCCAGACTTAACGGAATCCTTAATATTCAGTGCAAAGAGGCAAACCCATGGCCATCGAACAGCGGCTACATGAACTTTGTGACCGATCTTCGCAACGACAATTATTGGCGACCATATGTCGGCCAGTCGGAGAAACCCCGGATGCGGATTCAACAGCATACCAGGAATATTTTGGCACTGAAACGAGACACTTTGCATTACTATATTGTTTGGAAAGGCAATGGGCAGCGAACATGCAATTTCATCCGCCTGTGGACACTGGTCATCCCGGAGGGCAAGAATACCGATCTGGAAGTTGTCTTCAACAATATATTGGAGATGGTCATGACACGAGCCTTCGAATCTCTGCCTTCTACGACACTAGAGGAGTGGTTTGGGTTGCCAGAGGGCAGACAGTCGTTCTCAGGCGTTGGCCTTAATGTTATTCCTCCACTTCTCCAAGGACGTTCACTGTCCCCATTTACCCGGCACACGCACTCTCTTCGACTGGAGGATTGTCAAGATCCTGAGATTCAGGGTTGGCCGAAGGTCAGGAAGAATTTTTTGAAGGAAAACAGCCGCAGTTCTACAGATATTACTGCTGGCCTGAAGCCGGAATTGAAGGCTGCCGACTATCATTGTGCCTTGCGCGATGCCTTGCAAAACCATCCAAATCACCACAACCTAACCTTTTTCGAGGACAGGACGCATCCACCATCGAATACGAGCAGCATTTCCCCTTCCCTCGGTGAATTGGCATCCAGGATAGATGGGGGGGGCCGTGGGATCCCATCCCTACACCATCCCTTTGGGAACACCCAGGCGAGCATTGGTATCATCCTGGATTGGGTTTATCCCAAAACAAGCCCGGATAGTGAGAGGCACACAGATAATTCATTCGACTTACCATGGGGACTGAAGGAGATGGGGTTCAGCAATTCAAATTCCTTGATCTGGCCATTTGACCTACGGCAGGGCTCCACCACGACAACCCACAAAGTGACACCTCTCAGTCCTTCAGAAATCCGCTCATTCTCTCAGCTTCACCGAGATTTAATCCAAAATAGTGGCCTGAAAGTGGTCATCATGTGCAGCTTGGATGCAGAGAGGGATGTTGTACCGGATAATGTGACAGGTGTTGACCTCAACATCCGGGGTTACACGTTCAAGGCATTTCTGGAGATAGATAGTCTGGATGTCAAGAGGGTATATATACATATGCCCACCACCCTGACGGTTCTTTGGGCGAACAAATGGTCAGAAACCAGACAACTCGGAGAGGTATTCAGGTTTGCCAGTGTCATTACCAATACTCAGGGGATCTCGCCATACTTCTATAATAACTCCTTAGCGCACCTTTCTATCATCCGCCGATATCGCGATGAGGAATCCGGGATAGTGGAAAAGATGACAAGGAAGACCATCGATCTGAATTTCCGCGACTGGTTGAATCGGAAAGGTTTTATTCAAGATGAGCACATTGACAAATTGGAGAGTCTAGCTGGGTCTCTTGTAGAAGGGCTCTTAATCCTCTTGCATGTACTTCCCACGCGTCCCCTGGAATACCGACAGCCTGGGTCCTCCGTTCCCCGATCAAAAGTCCAGCGACGTGGTGCAATTGAGAAAGAGAAATTGGCTGAAATTAAGAGCCTGTTTCGTGAGCTAAACGCTATCCAAGGATCCGGGTTTGACCTAGAAACGAGCAAAGCCATTGAGCCCCCTGAGATAATGCCTAATGACGGACGAGTGGAGAAGCTGCGGCATTTGGTCCAAGAACGAAAAGAAGAGATCTTCTTGGGTATTCAGGACGATGAAGAGCGTGCAGAGCTGGAGAGCACTTTCCAGTATAGCCTTTCTGCTAATGGCCTGGTGGAAGCCATGAAGGCACGGAGTATTGACGACGAGACTGAGCAATCCGGCAATATCACTATTGACGAAACTGGAAAATATACGTTCGAATTTCAGGAATCAAAAGCAAACGAGCTTTTCCCTTCCTTGCCTAGAAAGGCGACTGTGTCGAAGAGAGAGCTGCACACGCAAATGGAACTGCTTGCAGGCCGAAAATATCGTGGGACTTTCAGGGACCATCAAAGGGCAGTTGTTTTTTATGTCCACGGTGTTAGTTTGCGATTCTACGGCTATGGCTATGACGATCTCAAACGAGGCACCGAGTCCATCATTCAGGCTGAAATCAAACCTGTTGGTGAGAAACATCCACGTTTTTGGGCAAAGAACGCACGGGACAATGACCCTGCTGTCCGGCTCGGCTTTCGTGTCCGTATGGAGCTCAAGAGCGGGGAAATGGTTGAGCAATATCCAAACTCTGGCTCAGAAGAGGCTCCAATGGTGGCAAATGGCTTTATTGACTGGATGGAGGGGCTTACGGACGAACAAATCGCTGCCAATCCCAGGCGTTACGTTAATGTCCATGCGAATGTTGTAAATCTGGCAGACAGTTTGAAGCCATTTGTCGGGGGAAACTACACGGACGACTATGGCAATCCAGTACCAAAGGAGAATCCAGGACCACCAGCAAAGCGGAGAAAGACGAACAAGAATGGGCAAAAGGAGAACAGCTGAAAGAGTGATATGCGTGTTTCTTTCCTTCTCTTTCTTAACCAACTACTACTTTACACCCTCCTTATTTGGTTTTTTTTTTTTTTTTTTTGTGGTATTTTCTTCTGGCCACTCTTTCTTCATATTCATTTGACATTATTTTCTTAACTGAGGAGCCATAAGTTAGCCCTGTATTTTACTGCAATTCTACAGAAAACAATTAAACCTCCCAGGAGGTTTCGTCCGAAGTGTCGCTTGCATTTCGTCCGAAGTTGACTTTCTGCAACAACGGCACAGTGGCAGAGTGGTTAATGCGTTTGACTTGAACGGTGCCGCCTGTCCATTTATGGATACTGTCACCTAATAGACATCAAATCTCTTCGGAGGCCTAGGTTCGAATCCTGGCTGTGTCGATTTTTTGTTTTCTTTTTTTGGCCCTTCCTTTACGGAAGACCGCCAGATTATACGCACGCAACGACCAAAAACGATGAAATTAGAGGTAAAAAAACGTAATTTTGGCGTTGATTGGGTTGAAAAAAGAGCGAATTTCTCCGGCTTGTTGCCCTGCCGGCAGAAATGGTGACTAAGCTTCCTTGTTTCTGCCGACGTCCTTCACCATCTCCAACCGACACCTCGCATTCTCTTCTCTCTCAGACACCTTTACTCCGTCCCACTGACTCTGCGAGCTGCCATGGCGGCTCCAAGACTCCCGTTCCTATACCCCAATCTCCTCCGATCGGTAAGGGCCTGCGAACCTACAACTTATCGCTCTATACGATTTCCCCCACCCCAACAACACCACTCGCAAAGCAGCAGCCCACACGCCGCATTCCACACCAGCCACCGTCGCGAGGCAGAGACCTATCATCAACGCTATGGACAAGCTGCGGAACCACGGTTGCCTCCTCCTCCAAGGCCAAAAGATGCCCCATCAGCTGAAGCCGGACCAAAGCCGGACCAGGAACCGGCAGCAAAGAAGGCGGATAAGTCTGGGGAGCAGGACGTGAAGGAGTCTGGGAAACAGAGCCAGGCAGAAGCGGAGAAGAGCCAGGCTTCTGTCACCGCGTCGTCAACGAATATATCGGCTGAATTGCCCTCTCAGCAAGGAACTGCGGGGCGTGAGTCAGCGCAATCCGATATATCAGCCAGCGCCCAATCTGCCACCGGTGCTGGCCAGGATATGGATCCATTGCAGGGCACCATTCAGGGCCATTCTTTCCAAATGCCAGGTCCTGCCACTTCCCTCACACCGGCCGATGGCAACATCTCGCAGTCCAGCACAGCGGATTCCGAGAACCGTAAACCACCCCACCTCTCTCCGCCGCTATATGTGCACCACTTCGATACGTACAGTTTAGTGAAGGACCTCGGTCGATCCGGGTTTACCGAGGAGCAATCCGTCTCCATAATGAAGGCCATCCGCGGCCTGTTAGCCGATAATCTCGACATTGCCCGCGGAGGTCTAGTCTCCAAATCGGACGTCGAAAACGAGACATACCTCTTCCAAGCCGCCTGTTCCGAACTCCGGAACTCCCTGCAAGCATCCAGAAACGCGGAGATACAATCCCAACGAACCCAGCGGGCACAATTGCAGCATGAAGTGGACATTTTGACACAGCGCATGACGCAGGAGCTGGCCGGGTTGAAGGATGATCTGAAGGAGATGTTCAATGACCAGAAGATCTCGACAAGAGAGTTACAGCGGTCACTGGATACTGCCATCCAGGAGCTCAATTATCAGATTACCGTGTCGCTAAATAGTGACGGGAAGAGCGAGGTGGAGGGACTCAGGTGGATTTTGACGAGGAGGGCCGCGTTGGCTATCGCGACGAGTGCGGGTCAGTATTTATTTGCATTTGCACTGTCTCTTCTTCCATTCTACGCTTCCACTTCCCCCTTCATGGCATTTTCACTAACTTTTCTCTTTTCAACTTTATCAGGCATGATCATCCTCGCCCTCCGCTACTCCTCCTATAAGCACCACGAAAAGGAACTGGCCAAGGGCGCAGCGGCCGAGGCCAAAGCCGCTCCGCCACCGCCGTCATCAGAGTTTGGTCTGGATCCTGCATTAAACAATGCCCGTCCGGAGTCTAGTGTTACCGAGCCTCTGGGATAAGATAAGATAATCCAAGCCAGACCTGCTCGTGGGGCGACTTAAAACCTGATATCTGCCAAGTACTATTTATTCAATTCCCGTTTCTTCAGCATTGCGGGATTTGTACGTTCTTTCAGGGAAGATTTCCTTTTTTTGTATGTATTTTATTTTATTTTTTATTTTGTTGATGGGAGACAGAGTCTTTCGCGCGGAATTTACTTTTCATATGTCTTTTTTGGAAACTATATACCCTCCCTACAAAATTATAGACGGCACATTTGAAGATTGCTATGCCATTTCTTTTCTTTTAATAAGTGAAGAGAAAAAAACCAATTCTCATGATCTGATTGTCTCAGGGGTATATAAATGCTGACCAGCTGATATATATATAGCCGTCCGCTATAGCCGTCCGCAAAAGCACGAATAAATACCAAAGACATCATAGACGCAACAAAATCCAAAGGAAACTCTCTGTCTATCTATATATATAGCAGATCAACTACCGTCCTTAGAACGCTGGAAATCCATCTATGCTCAAACAAAAATAAATCAATCCAATCCAATCAACCAAATTATAATTGATCACCCCATAAAAAAAAAACCACCAACACACACAAACCGCCCCCATCACACCCCCCAAATAAAACCACCCCCACACAAGAAAAAAAAAAGAACATGCCGAAAAATCAAAAATCCATCCTCAACGCAATACTCGGGACATTCCTCTCCTCCACCTCCCCATCCCCCCCAGCACCACCTCCACCATCCCTCCCCACCCCACCTCCAATCCCCACACTCCTAAGAATCTCCTCCGTAAATCCCCTCTGCTCCACATCCATCCCCCCCAACAACCCCCTAAAACTCCCCGCATCAATCTTCGCCAACTCCAACAACCTCGCCGCGATCTCCTTGTACACGCTTGGCCCCTCATTCCGCGCCCTGCACAGCAGCGCGGGGATCATCAGGGAGATGGCTGTGGGGATCGCGCGCGCCGTGACGGCTCCGGAGCCAATTGATGAGACGAGCGAGAGGGTGATGGTTCCCTTTGTATTTTCGGGATCTAAGGGGGTGGCGTTGTCGGTGGCGGTTAGGGGCTTGCTGGTGACGAAGGCGAGGAGGCGCGGGAATAAGTGGCGGGCGATGGCGTCGTCGGTGGGGGATCGGGGTGTTGGTGTGAGGAGGATGGAGCGGATGCAGCCGGCGGCGACGCTCGCGAGGCCGAGGTCTTGGAGGCAGTCGAGGAATTCGTCGAGGACGCGGGGGATTAGGGGGTCTTGTGGAGGGATTGCGTGGCTGCTTGTTGTTAGGAGGATGGTTAGGGCGAAGAGAGTGTTTTTGGCGCAGGGGAGGGAGGTTTCGGATTCTCGTCTTTGGGCGATTGTGAGGATTGAGAGGAGGCGGGAGATGCAGCCGCGGATTTGGCGGGAGGTTGTTGCGGGGTCGTCGAGTGAGGGGGTGCTTGGGGAGGGGGATGATGGGGGTGATTCTGACTCCGTGGGGGGTGCGGGGCGGGTTATTCCTTGGATGAAGCGGCGGAATATTGGGAGGGCTTGTGGGACGACTTCCGCCTGGCACATACCCGTGGCGAGGATGGTGGTGAAGATGTGCAGGATGCAGGCGTGGAGATCTGCGCGGATTATTGAGGGGAAGACGGAGGTGACGTCGACAAGGGAGGAGAGGGATAGTCGGATGAGCGATGCGGAGTCATCGGAGACTCTATATCGGGAACTGGGCGAGGATTCACCCAGGTTTGGAAGGAGTCCCGCTAGGACAAGGATGATGTTTCTAGTAAGCTGGAATAGCTGTTCAATGTCGTCTGAGAGATTCTCAGTCCGAGATTGGTCGTTTGACGCAGACTGATGGTGGAGGGACAGATCTCGGGCCGTTTGGACAATGACGGTCTGTATATTGGCGCCCTCAGTCATCACCAGCCGGTCCAGTATCTCCATCGTTTCAGAAAATACTGCCTCTTGGTATACGGCGTTTCCAGCAACTGCAGGATGCAATATCTTTTGCAGGGCCTGTAATATCTCCAGCTTACGATGCGATTGCGAATGCGTTTGGTCAACCAAGGCCTCAAAAGTGAGACCAAAGAGAACGAAAAAGAATGCGACTGGTTCATCACGGTAATTGATGCTAGCTCCTTTCTCCTTCTTTTCACCGTTGACTTGAGGTTTATCCACAGCGGTTTCATCTGGTTTTGATGTTTGGAATTTTCCATCAAGGGCGTCAAAGACAAATTCACTATCTTTTTCGACAAGGCTAGCGATGGCGTCGACCAGGTTGAGCCAGGAATCTTGATAAAACTATGGACCTCTGAGTCAGCGATATACTTTGGATGGGGATTTGCAAGCCCTACCTTCAACAAAGTTTCCCGATTCAATGCCGCATAGACATCATCCAGATTATCAGAGAGGCTAACAGTTCCGACAGTGCTGGATATTTCGGGCTCGAATCTGAGACGTGCGAATTCTTGCAGAGAAGAGAGCCAAAGAGGGGTAAGCATTGCAGTGTACGGTTGTACAATCTCAGCCAAGTAGGTCTGGTCGTTGCTGGCGATTTGTAGTCTGGCCCAGGCGGAGAATAACGCAAGTTTCACCATCACACGTGCATTTGAATTGAGGCCTTTGAGATCGCCAATCTCGGTCGTATCTGGCTTGTCTAGCAGAAAGAGGTCAGCGAAGCACTGGACTAGGATCCGGTGCACATACTCGCAAAGTTTTCCAGGCCAACAACAAGCAACTTGAAAATGCGGCCCATTCGATCCACATTCGTAACGATCCCTGTACCAACAAAGGTTGCGCAGACATTGATGGCCTCCGAAGCTAGCTCGGGTGACGAGTCAACAGCAAAGGCAGGGGTTAGCGCAGAACTTATCTGGGCCTGATATTGCTCAAGCAGCGAGGCTTCTGCGAAGTCAGGGTCTGGTGTTTTGCCAAACATCTACATTTGTTTAACCTTTTAGCAACCTTTATCCCTTAAAGCGAGACGGATGCACTAACCTTCAGGACCTGGTCGATGATTTTCAGTCCCCAAACACGGAGTTCGATAACGTTAGCAGTAGAGGCAGAGAATGCCATTCGAATAATGTCCCCCACTTTATCCTGCAAGGCGGTTTCCGCAGGAATGGTCCGATCGGGCAATAATTGTTTGCTGACCATCGATAACAGTTCACTCAGACAGCTCATGACGAAGTTCCTGGTTTGCCATTTCAGGAGCTCCTGGCCGGCCGCGGACTCCTCAGTGGGATTGCCCTGTTCACCTGCAACTGCCGTGGCGAACCCAGCTACTTCATCATCAGGAATGTCGTGAACAGTG